CATTGATTATGGCAATGCAAGACCGTGATGTGGGGAGGCCTTCATCCAGTAGTGGATTGATCACAGCTCTTGTTGGTGTTATGATAGCTGAACTGAGGTTTATTCATTTAATCATATTTCCACACTTTTGGGGAATTAAAATATAAAATTGCATACGTTGGTCTGTTTAAGAATACCATTGATGACATTTCTGTGACAAATGTAATTATATGGAATTATCATGTTCCGCTTTTATATTTGATGAATAAGAATATGTAATATGATTTTAAGCTGCAGCAAGTTGTCCATTAAACTTTGTAAATTAATGTTCCTTTGGTTAATCCAAGCGTGGACAGCCCTTGGTGGCGTGACCCCAGAGTTACCCAGGCCTCTGCAGCTGCAATAAATGTTCTATTTTCATTGAAGATATATTACACATTCACACACAAAAACTGGGATAGAGAATCATTGCTCAAATTACGCTAATAAGGGCTATGTCACCCTTGACAAACGATAAAGAAGGAATAAAGCCTCAACATATTCAACGACAACACTCTGGCCTTTAAAATAGAAAGTACGCAATCGGTGACATGTGGGGCAATGGCCCTTCTTCACAGCACAGGGAGGGCAGTGAAGTAGGGCCATTGCATGAAACGTCGCCTTTAATATACTTGTTCTCGTTAAGGCCACAGTGTTGACAAATGCGTTGAGTTTTATTATTTGTGCACCACTGCCTTTACAGTCTCACCAAATAACCCGTTTAAAACAGTGCCAAAGGCACTGACCAAATCACCTGGACTGCTTCTGATCCTAACGGCTATCAGAAACTAAGCAGGGTTGAGCCTGGATAGTTGTTTGGATGGTGCAAGTGCCACGCATAAAGCAGATGCCTGTACCCTTTTGCGATACAGTGAGAGTAAGTAAGAGAGCAGTGCAGTAAAAGCAATTGTATTGTACTTCTATGTTCCCCACCTTCACCCAGCCACGCCGACGAGGATGGTGATGCATGGTGAGAAAGCAAAGCCTCTCTAGCGGTAACAAAAAAGCGTGGTACACGCGTGCACGTGCACATTAAGCAAAGCCCTTTTGAGCAGCCAGCCGTTTGCTGGAAGGACAGCTGGGCTTGTGAAATATTTGGCTAGCGATGGTCACCTGTTTCCCGCAGTACAGCGTTACAGATATGAATCACCTAAGTTGTTTGTCAATGCTCGAAGGGTCAATACAGGGTGTTGCAATGATGAATGGTGGCAATGACAAGGTGCAGCGTTTCATCATTACTTTAAGTATTCAAGGAAACTCAAAGTAAAATGGACATTTGCTCCAATATCCTAAGGTCAGGCAGTAACATGTATTTGCGTAATATCTTCTGCAAGGCTTGGCCAACAGATTTTTTTTATTTTCCACTGATAAGGAATGCTGTCGTTACTTTGTGATGCACGCATATTTACCTGCTAAAAAAAAGCGATGTGTCAACACCTTGGTAGTGTCGGTACCAAGACACAGAGACCACGAGGCCTAGGTCACCATGGTGTATATATGTCAATAAAACAATAAAATGTATTTCCCCGATAGTGTGGTTCACTGTATAAATATAGCTACTGATCTGGCCTTGATCCAAACTATACGCAGGTGGAACATAAAAGCAAGTTTGTACAAATAATGTAATTTCACACTGACGGGTGCAATGAATGTTCAGAGCAATAAAATACAATGACACTTGTCCTCAAATAACTTTATTTCCGCGAGTCTTCTCAGTTCATTTTCCACATCTCGGCGAGGTCCGAGTGCCTATTTACAGTGAGAGAAGCAACAAAAAATGCGCTTTGATGTGCAATGGAAGGGCGTCCTGCTATCAGTCCAGTCCTGGGACAGCACATGCAGCCGTGAAGGCAGCGCCAGATGTAAAGCACCTGACATCACAGTCAAGTTGGACCTGGGAAAGATGCTGGTCTACCCCCCACTCCATTCTCGATCGCCCCCTCCTCCGTCGTCCCCCCCCCCCCTTCATCCAAATCCTAACCATGCCTCCACAGCCCTGCCCACCCAATTCTTCCCTTCTCGTTTCTGCTTCACACGACAGGCAAATTTCCCAAACAGCCTTTACAGACTGTTTCGGGGGGGGGCAGGTGCTACTAGAAAACACACAAAAGGAGGTGGTGTAGCTCGCACCACGCTCAGCCACCTTTGTATACCGGGTGATGATGTTAACACCCCGCAGCGGGTACTCATTTAAGGCTGAGTCGATGTAGGGGAGGCCCAGAATCTGGTTAATATATTTGTCACCAAATGTTGGCCATTCGAAGGGTGGCCGGGCTTGTAGCGTAGTGCCATAACTACTGCACTTCTGCTCACCACTCTACACTCACGCGCACTCGTTCTTCCGCACGTCTCGCTGTAAGTACTTTCTTTGCCGTACACGTGTTGAGGCATGCGTCCCACGAACCGTGGATGTGACCTGGATGCCTTGTTCCTAAAGCGCGATTATGTTCATTGCTTTTATCTTTTCCCTGGTCATTTAACGAACGCTCGTCAACAAAAATGCAAATGTGCAAGCGCTCAAAAAGAACTCGAGCAATTAACATCTGCAATTGATTCAGAATCTCAGGAACAAATTTTGCCATGAGACAAATTAACCAATGGGGATTTTGAAAAATATATAACGTTAAAATGTTTTTTTTAATGAATCCTTTCACAGTTGTGCGAGAAAACCACTCACAATCAAAGTGTGATTGTCTATTTTCACATAAATTGTATTTTAAAAACAATGATACTTCCAAAGATATAATTAAATATATTTTTCTCTAAACAAATATACCAGCAGCAGAATTATATAAACACACACACGCGCGCAAACACAATCACATTAACAAAGTCAAGGTGAAATATCGCTATGCTTAGGTGGCCGGCAATAATAATTAGAGTGTATGATTTAATCATCCAAACAATGCAATCCATTCTTCCTACCCAAGCTCAGAAATGTAAACATCATACGGGGGGGGGGGGGGGTGCTCGAGTCGATTTCCCTCTGTAATTACCCGCAATGATTGGGAAAATATGATAGTAAATCACGTGCGGAATCAGGCTCTCTTACCCAACTGTGAGGCCCTGATAACTCGCGGATCAATATTTACCATTTAGTTTTTAATGGAAAACAAAACACAGGAGCCGAGCTACATGAAACCCACGACCCGGCAATAAATCTCCCTAATTTTTTTTTATCAGCCAGCACTTGACATCCCATGAGTGTACGTGGCTCTGAGCCACGCTACAACGTTTGGCTTACGTGCGATGGGAAGAAAGCGGTTAGCGATGTTCTCGCTCAACGTATTCGGGGGACACTTTAATCCACGCTCAAAAAATAAAATCCAAAATTCTGTGATGCCAGACGGAGATATTTCGCTTTTTGCCGGTTACCACCTGATGTAGAATAACGATCCTGTAGTTCCCAGTTCTTTATGTGACCAATAACCGTGAATTATGTGATTATTTCAAATGAGTGGGGGTTATCAAATAATTCACTCGTGTTAGCCATTTAATAATATTGGTATTCGTATAATGTTGCTGCTGCAGGAGGTGGTACCGATTTCTGCTGTGGTGCATGGACTACCAAAGACGTGTATACAAATTTCCTCAAAGTGGTGGGGCCTTCGTGAGAGGCGTCAGGGTGACTTGTACTTGTGTTTTATTGTATTGTATTAGCGGCTCGGTGGCTTATTGCATCACGGGGTCGTATCAGGTGGCAAAGGTGGCATTGGTTTGGGGAGGTCTTAATCCAATAGTGGCTTTCCATGGCTTATCATAATGAATTGTATTTAAATGTACATTTATATCATGCCCACATTTTCAGAGTCTAATGTGCATATCTTTCACGTATTTGTGATGTACACTTCAGGGAAAATCATGCTCAACAAAACTATGGTGTATACATATTATGGCGAACCTTTTCAGCAATTATCAACGTCATATTTGAAACCCTTTGAGTGACATATTTTTTGGTCAGTAAAAATTTCCACGAATTCATCACCTCGACCTGCGGTGCGTCTTCCCCCTCCCACTCCCCCCTCTGGAAAAATATGCAACTCAAGAATCTTTGATCAAAGTTGGCCACAGTCCGCGTGTGCAGTCATGCAGCGAATGAGCAGCATACAAAAACGAGAAATGCGTTTTGCCTAATCGCGCACGTTTGTTCTGTCCACGGTTGTTTTCGTTTTAGATATTGAAAACGATAGAGCACAGAGCAGCATTTAACTTCATCGGTTCTCAACTAATGGAGCGTGATGGCTTACATAGCACCGTACAGTTACTGACTCATACTGTGCTTTCAAACGTTACGCAACATGTCCCGTTAAGAGTGTTGATCTGCCGATCATTTTTCAGGACACCCGCATGCTATTCTTGCTAAAAGAGAAAGAACGGCCATCGATCTGTTTTTGGCGTGTTCGTGATGTCTATTAAAGGGCGAGCTGACGTGTAGCAATAGCATTGTTTATCAATAGGCTTTGAAAAGTTCGCTGGGACTGCAGTTGGGGTGTCTTGACATCGCACATAACACGACACTGTAGACAAGAACGCCCAGGTGATCTTGGGTTACAGGAAATGACTCAGTCGGCGGTCGGTTTATTGCCGTTATGAGTAATAATGTATAATGCATGAGCGGCCCCCCTGTTATGGCCACCGTGGAGGGTTAAGTTAGAGATTAATGCGCCTCCGTTGTCATGGGCTGCCCACTTAAAATCCATCTGTCAGCCTGGCAAGGACGTCAGAACACAAATATTTTCCGAGGCATATGAAAACCCTGAACCCTGTCCAATAAATCACCCCCTCAACGCCGCGTTGTCTTGTTAGCACAAAAAGCACCCCCTCCTCCTCCTCCGTATCATCTCTAGCTGGCAGCGCATGCAATGCTCGTTGTATTATTGCACAAAAGACGAGGCTTATTCCAATAGAAACCGAGCCTCGGTGCAGTTTCTGAAAGTTGACCCAAGCTTGATGCTTTGTCTTTCCTTTTTCTTTCCTGCAAGTGGCCGCTTTAGGGGGGAGAACAGGTGGCATGCAGCGAGGCGACCGGTGGCGCTCACCAACAACAGCGAAAAACCCGAAGGCACCCAGAAGGGCGTGCAGCGGTGATCAGAGGAGACCAGGGCTGCTGACCCGTTCTTGATCAAGCCCGACTCTGTAGGACGGATGCAGGCTTCGTCTGCACCCCCCCCCCGCCCACCCCACCCCCAGTACTGAATTGCTTCGAGTCATTTTCCCAGGTGAAAATCTGCACCCACGGCGATTCGACCGTCACGCATCACGGTCGCCATTCACTTCCAATATTTTTTGCCTTTGTTTTTTTTTGGTTATAGCCCATTGAGCTGTTTTTTTGTTGTATCTTTTCTGACAGTTCTGTTTTATTCCATTAGTTCTTAATGTGATATTGGTGTAATTATCGTATAGCTTTGCGTGAATAATAAATAATAGATTTTCGACATGGGCACAATTCAATTAACGGACCGTCCGTGTGCTAAAGGAGGGAACGCACCCGAAATAATTCCCACCGTGGAAATGGAATTAAATCGGCTCGTGCGCCGGACAATTGGATAGATTGTCGCTTCACAAGACCGTGAGAGATAGCGAGACGGAGTGGGAAGGCCTTCACCAAGCAGTGGATAAGATCGCCGCTGCTGATGGCGACCATCGTGTAAAGTGATTAATCTATGCATCTTTACGCGGCTACCGGTTAAGGCTCTAACACGAGTATTTTTAATAAACACGGCATGACACACGGACAGCCATCGACAGGATATATATCGTGAGCCAACAGGTCTGGGCAGTTAATTGGAAGCTGGCTTCAATTCAGCTGCCAATGTTCTATTTTACTTTGTGCACAGCCACCAATGCCAGTTTATTGCCCCGATCCACTTGAGGTTGTGAACAAAATGAGAGACCTGAAGACGTCTACGTGCTGTCGGGAATATTTCATATCCAGAATGAATGTTACGTTACAAAGAGGTAAAGGCGTGGCCCTGAAATGTCTTGCTCACGCCAATGTTGGTAGAAAGGCTTCCAATAGAGGGGAGCTCAATGGAGCTCCTTTCGAGGAAATGTGGCCTACTCTTCCATACTCGCCAGATGTTTTGGAAGAGGCGGACGTACCCTGCGTTTATGCTGCAGCTGGGTGGATAGAGGTGACGTGGTGGAGGGGGGGGGGTAGTGGGGATTCCAGAAACTTGCCTCATTCTTTCAACTGCCACACCAGGAGATAGACTCGAACCGGCGCCCCCTGGATGCCAAGTCGAGTGCGCTGCACCATTACGCCACTGTGGTCGCATCCCGGACGGAAGGGTGATGTGTAAACCCGCATTAATGGAGTTGCCCAAACATATGACTATAGGATCGCAGAGCTCGGACAATTGTTGATCGATTGATTGTGGTGTACACATTTATTCTGCTGATTGGACGGAGGCAGGGGGATTTAAGAAAAACTGTTTCTATCACTCCTGGAGATGGAAACGAACCTGAGTCCTCCGTTGTGCTCGCTTTTGCATCACGGCAGCATCCCGATCATCAACATATTAACCATTAGCTATTCAGAAATAGCGTCTTAAAGGAATATACATTGTATTGTTTGGTATTAATTTCTTTGGAATTGTGCTGTGAATGTTCACTTAATATGTATGCACTACTGTTTTGTTTTTTCGGTAAAGAAACGTAGGTAAAATAAAATAAATGATTTAATTTAGTTGTTTTCATTTATTTTATTTTACCTAAGTGAATTTACCGAAAAAAACAAAGAGTATGAATCCTTGCAGTCACGAAAGCCTCAAATCTAGAATGTATGCACTAGGTTGTTGGGGGGCGCCTATGGCCTATGGCGTCCCCCAACAACCACAGCGTGCGGCACCCCCAACAACCACAGCCTGCGGCACCCCCCAACAACCACAGCCTGCGGCACCCCCCAACAACCACAGCCTGCAGCACCCCCCAACAACCACAGCCTGCGGCACCCCCAACAACCACAGCCTGCGGCACCCCCCAACAACCACAGCGTGCGGCACCCCCCAACAACCACAGCCTGCGGCACCCCCCAACAACCACAGCCTGCGGCACCCCCCAACAACCACAGCCTGCGGCACCCCCCAACAACCACAGCCTGCGGCACCCCCCAACAACTACAGCCTGCGGCACCCCCCAACAACCACAGCCTGCGGCACCCCCCAACAACCACAGCCTGCGGCACCCCCCAACAACCACAGCCTGCAGCACCCCCCAACAACCACAGCCTGCGGCACCCCCCAACAACTACAGCCTGCGGCACCCCCCAACAACTACAGCCTGCGGCACCCCCCAACAACCACAGCCTGCAGCACCCCCCAACAGACTGGTCAAGTAAATCCTCACGATCCACTCGCACAGCGTGCGGTGGGCCTTCATCCAGCAGTGGATTTAATCACCACAAAACTCGAGTAGTAATGTAATGGAGAGAGTGCGGCTCTCCCTCAGGGAAGCAGTGGACAGAGCACGGCTTTCCCTCAAGCCAGCTCTTAAGGGGTCTTAGGTCTCAAGTTTAATGTATTAGGTACAGCCCTGTGAGCCATGCGGCTCTTGAGTCGGGTGCAACCACAACAAACTAAATATGAACACAGATAACTTCTTAAAGTGACGGAGCGCACCCCGGGAGCGCGAGCCTCAGGCGGTCATCAGTGGAGAGAGCACGGGGCAACATCAGGGCAGCAGTGGAGAGAGCACGGGGCTCCATCAGGGCAGCAGTGGACGGAGCACGGCTCCGCCTCACTCTGACTCACCCGTCTCCTCTGAGCTGCATGCGATTGTGTATGAACTGTGAGTGAGTGAGCTGTGAGTGAGCTGTGTGAGTGAGTGTGAGTGAGCTGTGTGCATGAGTGAGTGTGAGTGAGCTGTGTGTATGAGTGAGTGTGAGTGAGCTGTGTGTATGAGTGAGTGTGAGTGAGCTGTGTGTATGAGTGAGCTGTGTGTGTGAGTGAGCTGTGTGTATGAGTGAGCTGTGAGTGTGAGTGAGCTGTGAGTGTGAGTGAGCTGTGAGTGTGAGTGAGTGAGCTGCGTGTATGAGTGAGCTGCGTGTATGAGTGAGCTGTGTGTGTGAGTGAGCCGTGTGTGAGTGAGCCGTGTGTGAGTGAGCTGTATGAGTGAGCTGTGTGTATGAGTGAGCTGTGTGTGTGAGTGAGCTGTGAGTGAGCCGTGTGTGTGAGTGAGCCGTGTGTATGAGTGAGCTGTGTGTATGAGTGAGCTGTGTGTGTGAGTGAGCTGTGTATGAGTGAGCTGCGTGTATGAGTGAGCTGCGTGTGTGAGTGAGCCGTGTGTGAGTGAGCTGTATGAGTGAGCTGTGTGTATGAGTGAGCTGTGTGTGTGAGTGAGCTGTGTGTGTGAGTGAGCTGTGTGTATGAGTGAGCTGCGTGTATGAGTGAGCTGCGTGTGTGAGTGAGCCGTGTGTGAGTGAGCTGTATGAGTGAGCTGTGTGTATGAGTGAGCTGTGTGTATGAGTGAGCTGTGTGTGTGAGTGAGCTGTGAGTGAGCCGTGTGTGTGAGTGAGCCGTGTGTATGAGTGAGCTGTGTGTATGAGTGAGCTGTGTGTGTGAGTGAGCTGTGTGTGAGTGAGCTGTGTGTGTGAGTGAGCTGTGTGTGTGAGTGAGCTGTGTGTGTGAGTGAGCTGTGTGTGTGAGTGAGCTGTGTGTATGAGTGAGCTGTGTGTATGAGTGAGTGTGAGTGAGCTGTGTGTGTGAGTGAGCTGTGTGTGTGAGTGAGCTGTGAGTGAGCCGTGTGTGTGAGTGAGCCGTGTGTATGAGTGAGCTGTGTGTGTGAGCTGTGTGTGTGAGCTGTGTGTGTGAGTGAGCTGTGTGTGTGAGTGAGCTGTGAGTGAGCCGTGTGTGTGAGTGAGCTGTGTGTGAGTGAGCCGTGTGTGTGAGTGAGCTGTGTGTATGAGTGTGTGTGAGTGAGCTGTGTGTGTGAGTGAGCTGTGTGTGTGAGTGAGCTGTGTATGAGTGAGCTGTGTGTATGAGTGAGCCGTGTGTGAGTGGATCGACCGTGAGCTTTCCGTGGCTGCGTCTCCGGCGCTGTGGCCGTCATGTTGCTGCTTCTCGGGCTTCCGAGATGCAGGGCACAACACGAAGTGAGCAGCTCGTGGTCACGTGACACACTTCATCCAATCCGAGGGCGTACATGTTTGGGAGGGGCGCACCTCTGGTTGGCTGCTTGCTCGCGGTCACGAAACACACTTCAACCAATCCGTGCCGCGTTAATCACAGTCACAGAATGACAGAATGACAGATCTGGCTATTATATATGTGTATTGTACGTATCATTTATTTATTTGAAGTTTTTTTAAAATAATAATTTAGTGTGATTAGTAAACTGCACCATGACCCCACAAAACTGAGTTTGTTTCCTAGTTAACTTTAACATCAGTGTCGAGTGACACCTGGCGAAGTATGGTCACAACAACCCCGATGACCAAGGTGGCATGGGAAGGTTTTCCCCAGCAGTGGATTGACAGAAGGTGAAGTAAAATTTATATCACAAACTCCTCTCTCATTCGCCACACTGTTTCCCAGTAACATTCATACGACTTGGGAAATAAAACCACTTTGAGCAATTGTTTACTTCTGATTTACAAGGAACAAACCATCGCTGTAGAATATTAAAAGGTGTCGCCCTTAGTGTGGATAAACAGGTATATTGAAATAATTTTCAGAAGTAGCGATGTGATGTCCCTTTCCAGACAAATGTATCTTGCACGGTGCGACGCACCGCTCGCTGCTGCGTCATGACAACGACGACGGACAAAGCCCTTCTGGACTATCATTGGGGAAAAACACAACACGTAATTCACAATCCCGTTTATGACATAAAAACGTGGCTTCTTTATGGAAATTGTCAATAATGTGACGCGTACGCAAAACTAATACACAACCACCATCATCATCTTCATGCCAGCGTGAAGATATCCGTTTGTTTGAGTCGATCCCTGGTCGTGGCGTTGCGTGAGCAATTTCTCCATCACCAAGAAAGGTGAACACATTCCTATCTTGATTACAGTGCTGTATAGTTGAAATGCTATGCCCATGTACAAAAAAAAACACCCAACAACTTTACCATTGAAATAATGCTTCAGGAATATCTGAAATATTCGCTCGAAATTGTGGAATCACCTCCCCCCCCACCCCAAAAAAATGGCGTTTTTAAATGGTAAGACTCGTTGATAAACAGGAAAGAAATGTGGTGAGAGAAACGGGGTGACCACGGAACAGAGAGAGCGAGAAGCAGGCCGAGAAAGAGACGGTTGCAAGAGGTGGCCCGGAACACAAAGCACCGTGGAGTGGACGTGGATACAATGACACAGAACAGACCGTGAGTGGGGGTAAGAGAACCAGGGAAGTGGGGAGTCGGGGTGCAGAGAAGAATAAAAAATATAAATGTAATAGTTTTACCGTGCTGACGGCCGGTTAGCCACAGCTTGCTGTAGTTACCGGCACACATAGCGTGCGAGTTGTGAAACAAGGGACCCTGGTTGCGCTCTGTGCCTGTACACCCCGGGCTATACATGACCATTATGGTGTCTTGGGCAGCCAGGCGGGCCCTAATCATACGACTCGTCTCGCGCTGCATCAAACGCGTTCTGTCGCAATATGAGAAACACATCCGCTCTCATCGGCCGCGGCGTTGTGCCATAAAAAATAACCAACGAGCGTTGAGAGTGGAAAATGGAAACATTTTGCAAAAGTGAACGCAGGTAGATATTTAACAACAACAAAAAACGTTTATGTACTTACCTAGATTTTATTAAATGTCGAAAAAAAAGCAATAGAGACCCAAATTTGCTCATGGTTTATTCACAGTCACGTGTTCCACAACACCCTTGTGGTGTACATCTTTGTTTCGTCTTTCTCTGTCATGTCTTCAAACAAAGTAACCAATCGGAGCTCTGACAAAGCCATGCAACTCTTTGTGTTCGAGAACTGGGCCGTGGAAGCGAATACCACAGAGTTACCTCCGAGATCCCTTCAAGTAACCTCTGGTCCAACACAGTAGGGGCAGCACTTTCCCATCCGCGATGCCACTGAGAGCAATGTTCAAACGCGTGGCAGTCAAATTGATATTTGTAATTCTCGTAGCTGGCATTTAGCCAAGTTAAGCGCAAAACGAAATTTTATATGATGGAATTTTTTTTGTGTCCAGTGGTGACCGGGATAATACCATCAACTCGCTAGACTTGAGAACCCGGTTTTATCAGAGGCAGCTGCGATCACTGAGCCACCCGATAACCTCGTGTGTTGTACTTTCCTAAATTAAGCAAGGATCCAAATGTACTCATGGTTCAGTGGCATGTTTGTGTGTGCCAAGACTCCTACAAAGACAAGGCCAGCCTCAGAATGTGGATTGTAAAACTTGGCACAGTCCCTGCAGTGGATCGGGCACTGACAGCACGACGTTTCGTGGGCTTTGGTAGAATGCAGTTAATAAGTTCACAATCACAGGAAAACAAACGTGTGCACTTCAAAGCAGTGCTTCTTGAACAGCAGTTCATTTAACTTAATATATGCCAAGGAGGAGCAGTGGCTCCATTGTGAGTAGAGACTGTTAATCCTGGCCATGGCTAACGTTATTTAGCAGTGACATCAGTGACATCTAAACCAGGTACCGCGCGCCCTCTTTAGCAAGTGTAACTGACCAGCGTGGTGAAGTATGTCAAACAACCCCCATGATGGG